AATGCATGGAAAAGAGGGTTTACCTTCAGGAACGGAACGATTGAAAGGGGGCTGTGACTGGGTTTCTCGCGGGGCTATAATGGAACATAACATATATCACACCCACTACCGTAACGGCGAAGTAAGAGAACGATGCCATTGGATACCATGCTCATTTCAATTTGAATCACTTATAATTGAATCAATTACAATGTAAAATTGAATTATTACCATACATGTCTAGAAATGGCGCACACACCCACAAAAAAAAATTCTCAATTAATTGGTCTTCTTCACGTCGACTCTTGGGACGTATCCTCCTCGCATTAGCTCAATTTCAAATTTTCAAATTTTCAAAACTTAAAAAGTTCAAACTTTCAAAATTTCAAAACATTCCCATCGTGCTCAAGCACGCAAAACCTCCTCTCACTTCCCTTCCCAAAAAGCTGGACTACCACCTTCTTCCAAAGACCACAATGCACCCTCATCATCACCGTATCAGACCAGAAAAGCAGGTTGTACATGATGACCGTGCGTTCTGCTGTGGCCCGTGGGGAAAAACGGAAAACAAAACCTTCCCCTGCAAACCCCCTCCCCCCTCCCCCCTCCCTCCCTCCCTCCCTCCCCTCCCTCCATATCAACTTCTCCTGAATGACCCACCTAATATCCTGAACCCACGTGTCAAGCTTCCACCAATGGTCAACCACCAATTTTCAGCCTATGGACCTCGCTCCGCTACTCACCAAACGTACAAAATGGGAATGACTCTTCCCGTAGAACATGGGAAGGGGAGATACACCGTCTCTAATTTTCGGTCTTTTGCGCATGAAGATACACAGTCATATTTTTTGTCTTTTGCGCATGTGGTGCGTAGTGCCGCGAGGCCCTATGTGTACAACCCACCCTGCCCAACCACTCCATTCATCAGAGAGTTAATGTACCTGAATATATGTCGGATCTCTGAGGCGACGCCATTTACCGTCGAGTCGTCGACTGCCGGGAAATTGTATTCGTATCCGTCCTGTGTCCCCACTCTCGTCCCTACTCCCTCCTTCCTTTCAGGGCACCAACAAAATCAACGACGCAACCAGTGCCAACCACTCATCAACGAACCACGAAAAACTGAAGTACATCGACGATTACAACGACACCAGTGTGGATGTTCGGTTGGTATAGC